AATGGACCTGAAGAACATTATACTAGGTGAAATAAACCCGTCAGAGAAAGACAAATACCATATAATTTCATTCATATGTGGAATCTAATGAACAAACTAAACTAACAGGGAAAATGGGGACAGACTCATAGCTGGAGACAGCTCTGGAGGGAAGAGGAGATTTAGTGGGTGGGTGGATTGAGCAAAAAAGGACTCATGGACGTGGACAGCAAGGTGGTAACTGCGGTGGGAAGGAGGGTATAGGGGACTAAATGGTAATGGAAAAAAATACAGGAAAGATTAAATTTTTTTAAAAAGCACCCTTCTTCCTGAAACATCAGAAATTGAAGACCAAATCTGATTTTCCCTACCATAAAATACTGTTTCAGATTTGACTATGATTTATATTCTAGCATGCATATATGTATTCCATTTAGTCCACAGAAAATATCCTTTCCAAACTACCCTTAAACATTAAATTTCCTCTTTCAGCTGGAATCTGGATAATTCCAGTTCTTTTACATGCAGAGCAGTAACACAAATTAGGAATAAAGTTATCACAAAGAAGGCAGATTCATCAGTAAATTAAAAGAAAGTGAAAAGACTACAAGGGCATTTTGAGAGAGGGGAGAAGTCTGAAGTAAGAATGAATATTAAATCACTTCCACACTTTCAACCTAAATATGTTTCAGATAGTACCGATTATAATAAAAGAGCAAGAGAAGGAAAGAAAAAGTTCTTTTAGCAAGATATGAGCAGTTCTTTCAAACATGACCAAATTATAGAGGAACTCGATTTCTAATTTCTAATCTCATAGAGGAAAAATCCTATTGAAACAATACAAGTAATGAGAAAGAGTTTCCATCAGTAAAATTTTATTCCTCTACAAGCCAGGAATTAATGAAAGGTATGAATTCAAAATACAGCGTTGTTTTCAAGATTTGTTTGTGCCACATACGGGCATTTTCAATTTACAGCAGAAAACACTGCAGTAATTGGCATGACCAGGGTACAGTTACCTCAGTACTTTGTACTCAACAATGTTTATAGAAAAAACCTCCACTTTAAAAACTTTGCCTAAAAAAGGAATTCTCTTTGAAGACTAAAAGAATTTAATTAAAGATAAAGCTACTTGGGTGGCCATGTAACACATCAAACAGATCATACTTCAAGCAGAATTATTATTACTCAGTTATAAGTGCATGACTCATAAGAATATAAATGAAGTGGCTTTTTTTCCCTGTGCACATCAACTTGGAAGTATGTTTTTCTGTGTATATAAACTTGGAAGTACATTTAGAATTATACTATCACATTTGCTCAGTCTATAGATTTTGGCTGCAATTAAATTTATGTGGTTAAACACTGATTAATAAATGACGTACTACCAAATAAAAATTTTTAATTACTTTAAAAAACATGCTTAAGAATCCTTGGTGGTACAGAACTAGAAACATACAATAAATAGGAAGTTCATTAAAAACATTAACAAAGCTTCAATATTCTAAATGAAATGTATTTCCTCCCAATTATGCAATACTCAGAGAATTTTTACATCTGTATTATTTCTAAAAACCATACAAATATTATCAAGTATTAAAAACTTCCATTATGAACTGTCTTCAGATTTCCAATATAGACTCTCTACAGGCAAATACAATATTACCATTTTCACTAACATTTGCTGGTAGTTTATTTATCCCACATGATCAGGGAAGAAGTACAGCTCAGTGAAATCTCTCTTCGGGACCTTTAAAAGGAAAAAAAATACAAATCTTTTGGAAATGACACAGCTACCTTCCTTGCCTTTCTAAATGAAACATACTGAAAGTAAGGTCAGATTGTATTGATGACTCAGGGACATGCATTATAGTCCTTAATACAGTAAGGATATACAGCATAGAAGTATAAGAGATGACGTGCTTAAAGTCAGTAAATCGATTGCTAATTACCTACTAGCTGTCACTTCTGTTGTAAGCAAACCCATTCCTTGCTGTTTATAACTTGACAAACCTAATCAACCTAATCCCTAAAACAATTCTAAAACCTGAAGGAAACAGCTTTCTCCTCCTTCAACTACATGATACTGTATGGACAAATGTAAAAGGGCATGGAGATAACTGAATAAATGACATTATAAACAAAAATTACACGTAAGTTTTACATGGTAGACTAATGGCAGTAAAATGTTATAGGCAATAATTGGGGTATTATCAAGAACAATCTGAATAATGAAACTAAGAAACTTTAGACAGTAGGATTTTTTTCCAGACAGAAAAGGCTACAAGAGAAAGAATGGCTGAAGTGAAATTTGTAAGTGAATTCTGTACTAGACAGGTGAATGAATAAAGGAAATGAAATAATCTGAGTTATCATGATAAATGGTCTCAAAGGTGGATGGAGCTCTTAGATAATGCAGCAGTTGGCACAATGGAAAGTCACTGGACCTTTTAGTAGACAACTGTGTTAAGATCATGCCCTCCCCCCCAACACATACACATGCAAATGAAAACAAAGTAATGGATCAGTGAAATAACAAATAATACACAGTATATTGCCAAAAATGTATTCATAAATTAAGACACAGAAAGATAATTTCCTGAGCTTCAAGAAGTCAAAAGATAAATACTAATAGACAATTAGCAAGTATTTATTAAGTACCCACTATGTGACTTGCAGCATGTCAAATGTGAAATATATCCCTCTCCCTCAAGAAGCTTACTATAAATTAGGAAAGTATATCGTAGACATTAAGCTAAAAAAAATATATGCAATTAAAGCAAGTTTTTCACTTTAATGCTAATACTAGATTTTAAACAAAGCTGTAATGTGAGGCCTGGTCATGCACTGGATGAATAGGGATCAATAACAACGTTCTGGAGAATTATTCGGTGAGGTTACCAGACTTAAACACACATACACACACACAGGCTCCTTGACCCAGTAATTCTTCTTTTACAAATCTGAGGGAAAATTTTTTTCCAAGATTTATGTAAAAGGCTGTTCTATTAATGAAATCTACACTAGCCAAACGTTAAAAACATCCCCAATATCTGCCAATAAAAAATTTAAATATAGTTACATCATGTAATGTTAAGCGGCTAATTTTTGCAAACACTATTTAATGACACGGGGATGTTTATTAGCTTAAGTTAGATGAATATGCTGCATGCTCCCATTTCTAGGAAAATACACAAAATGTGTAGGAAAATATTTAAAGAGAAATATAAATTATTTGTATTTTTACTTGCACTCATCTTGATCTTCCAAATTATTTTGTAGTAAGATTACGAGCAATTACGTTTGAGAAGGCTCATTAACACACATTCCCCCCAGAAGTTTTTAAAAATCAATGTGAAAGAACTGGCCTGGATTAGGAGAAATTTCATGTATTTAAAAAGAAGAAAAAAAGCCTCCCAAAGGCTGGGAAAGAGAAGTAATGACTGTCTAGATCAAACCTTTAACTCTTTGAGAAAATGATGGCACCCTTGACAGTGATCTGAATCAGTAAGTAGAAAATGAGGGAGATCAAAGATAAGAGTTACAACAGATTTTGCAGATATTCAAATATATCCCATTTCATGATTCAGTGTTTGTATTTTTCCGGTATGCTGGTTTTATACAAAACAAAAACTCTGACTTTTGTTATAAAACCGTATTACATGGCAATTTTATTTGGAGTGTTGGTAAAGATTATAAATCCCTATTACTAACACAAGGCATTTGATTTCATAATAATCTCTCAAGGCAGGGCCCATGCTATGAAACTATTTACAAGAGAAAACAGAGATCGGAGGAGAGGTTGTGACTTGCCCAAGCAGGCAGCTAGTTAACTGCAAACAGCAGAGACCACTCACTACTAAGCCTCTTTCTTAAGCAACCTGCAATCCAGAATACCAGATTTTTCTCCATTATTAATTATTCCTAGAGCCATTTTTTCCTAGTTTAAAAAAAAAAAACACTGCTGGTCTTGTCTGTAGTACTGTAAATATTTCACTCAGGTTTTTGTTAATCTGCCTCTTCCTGCATTTTGAAAACATTCCTATTAACCACAACTAGGCACAAAGTTAAGCAAACCAATTAAGGAAACACGCAAGAAAGCTCTCCTCTTAAATCCCACCCCCTGACTAAAGTTTGGGGAAAGCAAAAAGAATGTGCTTCCTATAACTTAAATACAAAACAAATTAAAACAAAAAAACTCCCTAAGCAAGGAACAAACCAAACAATTTTCTCGGAGTAAAAAAAATTATACGAACGTCCATCCAGTGCCTTCCCTCCTGGATGTAAAACTATCGTATTCCTTTCCAGTGGTTTCTTTAATGACCCAAACATAGCCTTGTATTTCTTACTACGAAACTGCACAGAACCTCAAATTTTCCAGCAACATCCGTCCCTTCTGCGCACAAGGGAGGAGAAGCCACACAAACTTATGAACATCATTCCTCAGTAATTCTTTAGACTCCCTACCTCCACCCCCATCTACTTCTAAAGACCAAATTAACGTTTCTCTGAAATACAATGTGAAATAGATAAAACAAGGGTCACAACTAGAGCCTCTCTCAGAATCCCCCCAAACAGCATTTGCCACCACTCCACTCGCAGAGGCGCCGCAAGCCAAGCGGGGGGCGGGCCAGAAGACCACGTGTTGAGCCTTCTGCGCACGCGCTACAAAAACAAAAGGAAGGCCTGCCAAGCTCCTCCCTCTCCCACGTGACTGCTCCTAAGTCCGCCCCCAACCTCTCCCTCCACCCCTTCCCTCCCCTCCCTTGAGCTACTGCCAAGGCTGTTAGGTTTAGCCGTTTAAATCTGGCTACGGTCCGACCCCTGCCCTACAGCACAATCCTGTGCGGGACCCAGAGTCGCACAGCCCGGAGAATTCGAGGGGCAAGGGAGCTGCCGGTCGGTCGCCTGGTCCGCAATTCAGCCAGCGGTCTTCGCCCTCTCCTCCCCACGCTGCCCCCAGCCCCAGCGGAGGAGACCCACCCCCCACTTAGCCCACCGCTACAACGCCGGCCACTCGCCTGCTGGGGCGCCCTGGCTCCCCTCCGCCGCCGCACCTTTGGTCCGGCCGTGGTGGGGGCTGCTGAAGTGATCTCTAGCTGCCCGCCCGCCTCCCCCACCCAGGGCGCTGCTGACTGTCTCCAGAGCGCGCCGGCTCCTGTCCTGGCTGCCGCCGCTGCCGCCGCGGTTTAACAGTCCGCCCGCAGCCCGCACCTCAGGGCGGCTCGGGGGACAGAACCCTGCTGTGGTGGAGGGGCAGTGGGCGGGGCGCGGCTTAGGCCAATGGCAGCGGGGGAGGGGCAGCGCCATGCAAATGAGCTCCAGTGGCGGGGAAACCCCAGCCAGGGCGGGGCCTACAAAAGCTTTCTGGAAGTGGTTGGAGCCGGACCTCGCAACACCACTGCAGAGGCTTGGCTGCTCCCTCGGGGCGCTTCTCGAGTCTCCCCTGCTTCCTCTCCCCTTTCCCGTGCCAGCCGGGAAAAACGAACATACAAAACAAAAACACGGTTCCCTGACTTCCTGCCCCTGCTTTGCTATTTCTGTACCGCTGTGACAACGGAAACAAAGCGCTGGGAAAAGTGAGGCTGCTTTTTGCCCCGCTGCCTGCGCCAGCTCCTGGCGTCCTGACTATTCCTCCCCCTCACTTGAATGGCAAGTTTTAACAAAGCTTTGTCATAGATGTCAAGTTTACTTGTCTCCTGTCTCCGTGCATGTGCTTTTAGTCGGGCTGTGCATTCACACCTAAAGTCATAATACTGTACGATCCCCAAGGGGCCCTGAAACAGGGTGACAAATCTGCCTTGGGTCCAGTTGGATCCTGTTATAGTAAAAATTTGGAGCCACCCATTCAAGCATTTTGAAATCTGTACAGAGCTAGTTTGAATGGCGTTGGAGTTAACACCGTCCTGCAGTAGCGCGAATAAACGGAGTTTTACGTAGAGATAGTTGGCCAAGGACATATAGAAACATACTTCAGAGTTTTGCACCCAGCCCAGTGCTCCACTCACTACTAAACTACACCCAGCGTTTCCCCAGCCACAAACTCAATTTTTAAAAAACAAAAACAAACAAACAAAAAACCCTCAGCGCTAAATATATCTCTTTCGATGATGAATTACAGGCTTTCCTACGCACCTAATTTATGCATGGAATGATTCGGGGATGAAGTGCAATAGAATTTTAGATCCAGAAAGACAAATGTCATCATTTCAACTTTATTAATTGGATATGATCCTGGGGGGACAGGGAGGTGGCAGGGGAAGGGAAGGAAAATCCAAGTAATTGGAGTTACAACAAAGCATAATACATGACACAGATTACTGGAATTGGAAAATATCAGGCTTGTTACTGGCCTTTCTGGCAGATTGTGACCTTACTGAAATAATTTTTATAACAAGCTGCATTTATGGGAGATATGTGTTTTAATAATTGATCAAAACAATAATTATACCTTCATTTGGGATATAGGAAGAGTTTTAGGAAATTAATTTTCCTTCCTTGGAATAAAAATTATAAGCCAATGGGATGTTGTGAAAATTAAGTCAACAAGTATTTATTGGATATTTACCATATTCAAAGGGCTGTCATAGTCCCTGGGAACAGAGTACAAAAATAAGGCATTAAAATGTGTGCTGTTGTTTTTTTTAATTAACAGTCTAGGAAGTCAAATAAGCATGTGTTGAGATACTTCAAAGAAAGATTTTCTTACTAGAGCTAGGTATTTTAAAAGACTTTAGGCAGAGAAGGAGAAAGGTATCAAAAGTTAGGATGTAGTACCTTTGAGTTTGAGTAGAAGTTGTGTAGATCATATTATTGGGCTGGAAAATTACAATGTCAACTAGATAGAGTAAATCTTGAAAACCAGAAATTCAGATTTTAACCTGAAGGAATTATAGTGCCAACAAATCACTTGAGGCTCCAGTTTAGTCCTATGAAATAATTGTCAATTACTAAAACAGTCATATATTCACCAAATGATTATGGTTAGGAGATACGGCAATAAGCAAAGTTTCTGTCCTCATGGAATTAATAGTGGATGCTATAGGCATTAAGCTTTGTAATTACACAAGTAATAATTTAGAAAGCAATTTTACATACTTTATCTAGTTTGTCCATCAAACAACCCCTACCAGGAGGTAGACTATTTATAATTCTCTAGGTGAATTGTTTTATAGTTAGTCCAGCAGTCTGCCAAATTTTCAGACCTTAAATAAAAATTTTAGTTTATCAAGCCATCATACAAGTAAAGTTTTTCATTTCTTGTATATTTGGTTCATGCATGATACCTTTAAAAATACTAGGAATTGAATGGAAATGAATTGGGTTGGAAATGAATTCCAGTTTTTCAGACACTGTAGAATATCACAGCTCCTTAATACAAAAATTGCCATAACTGAACCATTTTTCAAATTGTTTTCTACATTTATTATTCAGCAAAAGCCTGAAAATTGCATAAATTTTTTTCAAATCAAGAATATGTCATTATTCAGAAAGTACATTAAAAGCATTCTGATTTCCAAGAAAAATATAATAGTGGCTATGAGACATAAAAGAACCAGCAGTGCCCTGACTAGTGTGGCACAGTTGATTGGAGTATTATCCCATAGACCCAAAGTTTGCAAGTTCGATTCCCAGTCGGCGAATAATCCAAATTGCAGGTTCCGCCCCAGTCAGAGTGGTACAAGAAGGCAACATATTGATGTTTCTCTTTCATATCACTCTCTCTCTCTCTCTTTCTCCCTCTCCCTCCCTCTCTCTCTGTAAAAAGCAATGAAAAATAAAAGTTCTCTGCTGAGGATTTTAAAAAACCCAGCAAGAACAAGGAGAAAGAAAGGGCACCATTCTTGCTGACATAATTAGTACCTGTCTGGAAGTGTCCAGGTAAGCTACATTACAATGATTTCATGAGATAAACTTCTTTCCTTGACACTTTTTGGTCAGCCCTTTCATTCAGGAAACACCTGCGTGGCACTGAACATACAGCTGACATTGTCATAAATGCTAGTGATACAGGAGAAAGATCACACCCTAGTCTTAAACAGCTCACAACCAGGGAGAGGTTACAAGTACAGTGTTTTCTGCGCCCCTCTCCTGCTCTGTTCTCCTACTGGCACTTATTACCATCTAACATAACATAGATTCGGGCTCTTTTGTTTTGTTCTCTTGTCTCCCTAGACTATAATGTAAGCTCTGTGAAGTCAGGCTTTTGCTGTTTTGCTTACTGCTGTGTCTCCAGAGCCAAGGACAGGGCTTAATACATATTAAGTTGTCAACACATATTTGTTGAATGAATATATATTTGCATTTAATTCTCACATTTTGCAAAGTGAGTGTTATGTTCATTTTCCAGAATAAAGAAATGGAGGTTAAATATTGTATTCTATATTCTCACACTAATAAAAGGCCAATCTTGGATTTAAAGGCAAACATACCTAGCTCCAAAGCCAGACCAAAGTCTCATGGAATAGAAAGCTAGTTTGGAAGCCTATACTATTTATTCCTCTGTATTTCCATGCCCAGGGCAACTACCCTCCACTGTCATGTTCTAGCATATTTAATTCCTTCTTTTTGTGATCATGATTAGAAAGTGGAATAGGAGAAGCAGTAAGGCTAAAGGCGGCAATTACCATTCAGGATAGATTTAGCTGTAAGTAGATAGAGGGCAGGCGTGGGTAGCAAGAGTATGGGATTTGAGAACCAAGGCAGAATACAAAAGTAGTTAGAAATGGCCCATGGCTATAGGGGAATCAAAAATGATTCCCAGTTTATGCACATTTATTCACAATAGCCCCAAACTAAAGACAAACCTGGATACATCACCCGCTATGGTTAAAATATAAACAAAAATACTTAGATAACTAAATAAATTTTTTTAAAATATTTAGAAAATAAAAACAAAAATAAATAAATGGAACTACATCAAACAAATACATAAATAAAAATAAACAAATTGTGGTACATCCTCCTAACGGAACACTATTCAGGAATAGAAAGAAACACATTATTGATACACTAGATAACATAAATGAGTCACAAACAGTGTGCTAAAAAAAAACAGACATAAAAAGAGTAAATATTGTATAATTCCACTTACATAAAGCTCTACAAAAGACAAACCTAACTTAGACTGACAGAAAATGGGTGAGCAGATGCTTAGGCCTGAGGTGGGGGGAATTGGGTGGGAAGAGTATGAGGAGTGAGGGAAATACTCTATTATTTTGGTTATGATGGAAGTTAAATGGGCACATGCATTTGTCAAAACATCAAAATGTTTTCTTTAAACAAATACACACTATTACATGGGAATTATACTTCAATAAAGCTAATGTTTAAAGCAAGGCCTTTCTGATGAGGGTTGACTCAGAAGTCTCAATGAGTTTTAGGGCCAGAACATAAACAGGCAGAAAAATGAAAAACTCATTCATACCAGTTAGGATGCGGATAGTCTGTGTGAAGTGTATCCGAAAGCCCAAATAATGATGGCATACAGACATAAAAGTTAATTATCTCTTTTATAAGTTATTTTGTCAATCCTAAGACACATTATTTTTCAAACTTGAATGTTTCCAAAATTAGAATGACCGCATTATTGATGTAATAGCAAAGCATTGATTCAGTTTTATTGCCAATGGGCTTTTTCTTAATAATATACAAATAATGGTGCATCTTAAGATTTAATAAAATGTGGTTTTGAAAAAAAAAGTTTAGAGAGAGATGAGCCAGAACTAATATAACAGCTCCGTAAGGTCACCAGGAACCCAGGTTCCTTTCTATTATTCTCTTCTGCCTCCATTCTCAGAGTAACTTCATGGACCCACATGGCTCCTGGGGCTCTCACCACCACATCCACTTTCCAGGCAGGAGGCAGAGAAAGGGAAAAAAAAGGCCAGCAGCCTTTAAGTTGCTTCCCCTGAACTTTGTGTCAACAATTCTATGACTTTATCGTGTGGACATATCAGATGCAGGGAGACCAAGAAATACAGCTAAAGTTGAACACATTGTCAAATCTCTAATAATATAAAGACTGTTATTTAGGAGAAAGGGGAGAATAGATGATAGTTAGGTGATGTTCTTCACCAGTTTCCAAAGTAAAATGTTGAAAACAACTAAATGTAACAAATTGATTTAGGGGCAGGGAGGTCAAAGAAACAGCTAAAAGAGATTTTTTTGAATTACATTTCCCTTTTTTCAGGCTCTGTGGCTTTGCCCATGATTGTTAAGGATG